GGTTAGCAGTCAAGCGCCTTAGGCACTACGCTACCAGAGCTCCCTCTGATAACAATGCCTAATTATTTGTCACTTGTCCATCTCCTCCACTCCAGCGTCAGCAACACAAGGGGAGGGTTTTATTTGGAGCCCTACTGTATCCCCAGTGCTCTGCACAGTGCCTGACATGTAGGCATTCAATAAATGTTAGCTGAAGGGCAGTATACATCAGTGATGGGCATGTCATACCAGCTCAAGCTTGAGAAGCCAAGCCCAGGATGCAGACAAGCCATGCAGCAGCCCCAAGCCTGAGTGGGATCCCACAGCAGCTCCTAGGCCAAGACTCTGATATTTAAACACATCTAGAAACAGGCAACTGTTTCCAAGCCCTCCCCGTCAACCCCAAGGGCTGAGATGATATGAGGTAGAGAGACCCCTTAAACGCCAGGCTCGAGATGGAGTCTCACCTTTGCCATGGCAGAGTTCCATCCCGCGGAATAGTCATCCGGCTCGTTGTAACCCTTGTAATTCTTCCTCAGGGTCGTAAGGATGTGCTCGAAGGCCAGCTCTTGAACCTCGAAGAAGAATCAGGAAGCAGTTCAATGACACCTCGGTGACAAGGGTGACCCATTTGCTGAGATTCCTTGAGGGAGAGGTGGGAGGCAGGGACTCCCCTTGGGCTTCTATCATTTTTCCTTTCCTGCTTTTGGCCTGTGGGTCCACGCAAGGGGAGGACAAACTCTGGCTACTAGTGCCCCTGAGACAGGCACAGGGACGGTCGTGGGTTTCGAGCCAAGTGCATCTGGCTGTCCCCATCCCAAACAGTTTGAATCATCTGCCCTTTGGAATCGCCCACACACCTACTACACCCACAGTTTGGCTGTAACTTGATTAAGGAACTGAATATCATCTTCAGCAATTGAGTGTCTGCAATAACGGGCAAATTTAATTTTCTATGTTTTAAATAAAGGTTTAAAAAAACCTTTTTTTTTTTAATCCCCCAAAGAGGTAATACAGTCACATGGTTTGAAATTTAGAAAGCACAGCGGGGTAGACTGTGCAAAGTGTCCCTCCCACCTTTTACTCCTAGCCAAAAAGTTCCTCCCGCTCCCCAGCAGTGACTGTTACCGTTTCCTGTGTCCCAAAAGAGATATTCTATGTGTGTCAAAGCAAAGCATAGTTTCGTGATTTCTCTCCCTGTTTTGTACTGCTCTCATTGTTCTGTGGAGTCCCTGGGTGGTGTGAATGGTTGATGGATTCAGCTGGTACCGAAAGGTTGATGGTTCGAGTCCCCCCAGGGGTGTCTGGGAAAAAGGGCCTGGTGACCTACTTCTGGAAAATCAGCCACTGAAAACCCTGGGGAGCAGTTTTACTGACATACATGGAGGTGCCATGACTTGGAAGCAACTCAACAGACTCTAGTTTTCACATTGTTCTTTGCTTTTCAGACTTAACAGTAGTTGCAGATGGTGTCAGTGCCCTCTGTCTGTTGGTGGCCCATTCCTGTGTGTACTGGCCTGGCTTCCATCTGTCACCAACTCCATGGTCTCTGAGTTCACGTGTCCCTTGGGAGCAGCCCTCAACCAATCAAAGACTGCTGGGAGTTGGGGGACCAATACTCCAGCTCCCTTGCCCCTCAGTGGGATAACAGAGGTACATGTTCTATGCTGCATCCCAGAGGTCCCCAGAGGGATGGAACCCAGTGGTCCTCAGTGTCACCTCTTATTAGCTGCCTTCAATTCTGTGCCATGGCCTATCTCTGTGGGGACACAAACAAGGCCGCCAGCACATTGTGCTATAGTCCAGCACATCTCATGCACGGAGAGCCGCCTCCTTGCTTGCTGCCTTGGGTGGCTGTGCTACCATTTACTCAGCCACTTGGTGCGCATCATGCTGTTTCCGGTCTCCCGGCCTCCTTCCAGCGCTGTGAGCGCACCCTGGTGCGGATGTCAGCTGCATGTACCTCCTTGGAAAGTTCCCAGAGATGAGATTGATGTGTCAGTGTTCATGCTTTGACATTGCAGTGGATTTTGCCAAATAGCCCTCCCTAAGCCACTTGTTCCAGAATCATGGTGCTGCTCTCTCTCACACTTTACCTTCCACACCGGATGCAGGAGAAAGCATGTCCTTTCCAGTGGCTTCTGACTCCTGGCGACACTCTTGTGAGTCAGAGTGGAACTTAGTGCCACGGGGTTTTCAGTGGCGAGTTTTTGGAATTAGAGTGCAGGCCTTTATTCTAAGGTTCCTCTGAGTGGATTCAAACCATCGACCTCCGGTTAGCAGCTGAGCGTGTTCATGATTGGGACTCAGAAGCAAGAGAGAAGATGTAAACTCTGCAGATTGCCTGAGTCCTTCTCAGAGGAGTGCTGAGGTTTTCAGACTTTCACGTCCCCCTCCAAAGGACCCCTGGGCCCCGGCATCCACTTGGGAGTGGAGCATCGTCAGCCCCAGGGGAGGAACAGGCTCTATTAATTACTAAAGCTCAGTGGGAGCAGCCACACTGTACTTACAATTGGGAAGAAAACAAAGATCACTGTGGCGACTGTGATTTCCACGAGGACGATGAGAACCAGCGACAGGAAACACTGGAAACACAGAGGAGGATGGGGGAACAGTGACTGAGTGCATCCCCACCCCATCACACGCAGGCAGGGCGCTGTCCCTTGCCACCCTGGCTCCTCGGGTGTGGAAAAACTCACACCTCGGGTGTTCAGTGGATGGACTGGTGGTTTTTATTTCTCTCAAGTGTTCCTTTCCTGAATGTGGGGAGGTCAAGAGGTCAAGCCAGTTTTGAGGAGCTGCTGGATGGGTCCCACTTCATGCCCAACACCTCTGGGCCTCCGAGAGGCCTACAGGAGATCTTGGATGAAGTGGAGGTGGTTGTGGGAGGGTCCAGGAGCCAAGAGAGAAGTGAGAAGGAGGAAATTCAAGGCCGATGGGACCCAGAGCCACAACATCAGCGCCCGCCGGCTTATTTCTCTGTAAGGTCCACAGGAATGATGGAAGACCATGAGAAATCCGGCAAGCAGGGGTGGGTCTTGAAGTTCACATCACTGAGAAACCACTTTCCCCTCTGGGCCTCAGTTTCCCCATTTGTACAATGGGGAGGTCATCTGTCATTTTATCATACTGTGGTGGCTTGTGTGTTTCTGTGATTCAGGAAGCTATGCTACTGGTATTTCAAATACCAGCAGGGTCATCCATGGTGGACCGGTTTCAGCAGAGCCTCCAGATTAAGACAGACTAAGTCCTGGAGATCTACTTCCTAAAACACCAGCCAGTGAAAACCTTATGGGTAGCAGTGGAATACTGTCTGATACAATACTGGAAGATGAGCCCTTCAGGTTGGAAGGCACTCAAAATATGACTACATGGTGGTGACAATAATAAGCTCCAACATAGCAACAATGGTGTGGACGGCGCAGGACCAGGCAGCATTTCATTCTGTTGTACATAAGGTCACTGTGAGTTTGGAGTCACTTCAATGACACCTAACAGCAGCAACAACAGTGGGGGGTGAGGCCAGCTCAGGGGGTCTCAATAGATTCTGTGGAGCGGCTCAAGACCACATGGGGGGCAGTGCAGGAGATCCTGAACAGAGTGGGAGAACAATGTGGAACAAAAAGTCCATGAAAAGGAGCCCAGGCTTACTGGTCTGATAGAGTCTGGTGAGACCCCAAGACTATAGCCCCTAGTTACCCTTCAGGTCTGGAACTGAACTCTCCTCTGGTTTCCAGCCAAACAATAGACAGACATATGGGGTGAACATCTACATCAGGTAGATACATGCCTTGGAGTGATCAATCCTGGGAGAACAGAAGGGCAGTGTTTGCACAGGGAGACAGCTTCGGGGGTGGGGGGCAGGAATACAGAAGAAAGAAGGACACAGGGAAGAGGTAACTCCGGGGAGGAAGTGGAAAGAGAGCTGTTACGTTGTGGGGAATTGCAGACAATGTCATAAAACAAAATGTGTGTGAACTGCTGTATGGAAAATGAATTTGTAAGCTTTCGCCCAAATCACAATAAAAATTGAAAAAAAAAAAAAAAGCCATGTGGGGACAAAGCAAGTTCAGCTCTCTACTCTCCTTTCACCCATCCCCTTCCATGAAGCTCCTGTATTATTACTATTAAAATCTATTTGATAATTCAGGCTTCTAAAACATAAAAGCTCTGAGTCATCAGACTGGCCAGGGGCTGAGTGTATCCCACCTTGACCTGGGGTCCCCACAGCTCACTGGGACAAACATTGGTTTAGGGCTTAGCAGTTGTGAGAACCCAGACAAGTGGCTTATACATCAGCTTGTGAGGTGCCAACAGGTGTGGTCAGCTCCACCTTCAGCTCTACCCTGAATCCACTCACTTCTCTCCACCTCCACTACCACCCCCGGGTCCAGCCTGTCACTTCTCACCTGGACCAATGCAGCTCCTCCACCCTCATCTTGGCTCCCTTCTTCAGCCCCCCACAAGCTGCCAATCCCCACAGTGGCCAGAGGACACCTGCGCACACCTGAGTCAGGGCGTGTCCCTTCTCTGCTCACAGGCCTCCAGGGCTCTCAGCACCATCAAAAAGACTTTGCTTTTCTGAGAAGGCCTTAGAGGTCTTGGAGGGACAGATACTGAGGGTAAAGCCAAGGGAATCTGCCAATAGATTGGATGTGGGGTGTGAGAGGCAAGAATCTTGAATTACTCCAACTTAACATATGGATAAAATAGTGTCTGCATCATACTGAAGATGAAATGAAAGACTGCAGGCACAATAAGTATTTTTTTGAAGTAAGGAAGAAAGAAAACGAAAGACAATGGAGCTTGGTGAAGGAGGATGGGGCAGGTAGGATTTTAACAGACAGGATCTTCTATGCTCTGGGAGATGACTGGGGCAAGGATCTCCTTGAGAAAAAAATGGAGTTTTGCAGCAAAGCAATCGAAGAAGGAAAACAAAAGGTGCTGGAGGCAGATTAAGGCTGGGGTAGGGTAATCCATTCAAATAATAAGATTCTAAGGGGCCCTTCTAATAGAGAAAGGGAAACGGGAATGGTGGTGCTGGGAGATGGACTTTGGGGAGATATCTGCCATGACCGTATGAGCCATTTGTAGGACATTTAAATTATGTGATGTGCTGATAGAGCCTGGTGAGACCCCTGAGACTATGGCCCCTGGCTGCCCTTCAGGTCTGGAATTGAACTCACTCCTGTGGCTTCCAGCCAAACAACAGACAGGCATATGGAGTGAACATTTACATCAGGTAGGTCCACTCCTTGGAGCGATCAATCATGGGAGAACAGAAGGGCAGTGATGCATCGTAAACAAAGTTAAGAATAAGGGAGAGGGGACGAAGGAGTTTTCAGCTGTCTGTGTGCAATGAAGGATTGGTATGCTTTGGGGTCTGTGTGCAAATTAACTTACAAAGAAGAGAATGCCTCTGTTTTCTTTAGTAGCTCCATACCACCCAGCAAAGCCTAGCAGCACTGTGATACACCCCATTGCCAAACACAGGTAGCCAATATGAAGAAGGTATGTGGAGGACAGCCCAAGGACCCTGGTCAGGTTGGCCCCTCCATTGACCCAGGTGCCAAGGCCAAGGAGGAGCACGCCAGACATCTAAGAACAGAAATCAGAAAGGAGAAATAGTCAATTAGTTAGTTGTTAGTTGCATACAAATAGAATTCTCAAGGGGGAGGCAGATGGTGTAGACGCCAATAAAATCAGCACAAGTGCTTTAAAAATGTTAATATCTATAGGTGGTGAAGATGTGGAAAAACACTCCTACATTGGTGGTGGGCAACAATTACATTTATGTTGGGTGTGGGAAGCACTTTGCAATTAATATTTAAGACA